TTTTTTTGTCCCAATCTTCTAAAGGAAAGTGCAGACTATTTTGTCAATTTGTGATGAATAGAAGGAACTGGTGGTGAAAAGGTTTAAGTGCTCACAGTTGGTTTGTTTCAAAGTTTTGAAAAAAACAAACAATTTTTTAATGAAAGTACTAGTGGCTTTGTTCAATATACTTTACACTTAGATTGTTGTTGTGGTTCCTTGTCAAGATCAATTCAATTCTTTACAACAATCAACCTCACTGTCAAAACAAAGTTGAAAATGTTCTTTACAAAATAAGGTTAAACATTTCTGGTCAGTTGTTCGAACGCAGTCTGAAAACAGAGACTTATGGATTGACCTCTGTGCGGAAGTCCATGCTTATATCATAGGTATGCCTGGACCGATTACTTTCAAACTTCACACATAAATTGTACATATGCACGGTGACAATTATTTTCATGATCTGATTCAAGATGGCCAAATGGCAGCCATATTTGTGCTGAAAAATGCACAAGGTCTGGCATTCCGCAACCGGATCTCGGCTGTTTACAGATGGATTTCGTTCAAACTTGATACATACATTGGACAATACGAGGCCTTGATGCACATCATTTTATTTTTCAGAACAGATTCAAAAATGGCCAACTGATGGCCATTTTGTTTTAATCAATGCTGTTCTTGTGCTGCATCTTTGACATGATTTACATTTATATATTCATGAATGATTATACATGTCCTAGGTATACAGTTCGATGATCCAATTCAAAATGGCCAATCGGTGGCCCTTTTGTTTTAACTAATGCTGTTCCAGAGCAATATCTCTCAATATGGACAAGTACTTGTTTGATGATCAGATACAAATGTCATCATCATAATATTCCTGACATATTACTATAAACAAAACTACATCTTAAATTTGATAACAGGGATTGTGCCATGCATGGCTTGTTCAATTTTGTTTTTTACAGTATAAGTAGATTTAATTTTCTATTCCCAGTGAATACATCTAGGTATTGATTTTGACAGTCATGATTCTATGCTTCACACCTTGAAAGAAATAAAAGAACTAATATGTAAATGATGGGGCACGTCAATGGTCAAAATAAGTTGTATTCAATAAATGAAATAGTTGGTTAACGTGCACTTCATGTTGATACTTACTTTGCATGCCAAACCTCACTGAAGTTGCACCACTTATCAATGCAAGTAGACAGACGACATAATAACCAATTCAATACTTTACTTTTGGTTAATAGCTTCATGCCACAGATACTGGCGATAAAGAAGCAGTGAATAAGTCAACAGAAAGTTGTTATAACAACAAAACATGCGATGAAATCAATTGAATGTACTTTGTAAAGATTCTAAATTCAACACGAGTTTTTAAAACTCAACTTATCTGAATAGTTTTATAGTAATCGTGGTATTTTACTATCCTATATAAGTCAAATAGATTCTTCCGCCATTCTTCAAAATTGAAAAGGCTACAATATATCATTTATCAAATGTCCAATGCTTGTACATGATGCAAACTGAAAGACGAATGTTGTTTTTTTGTTGCTAGGTTACCATAATGCAATCTTCTTTATTTGGTGAGCATCTGGGGCATTGGGATGGCATCATCATAAATATTGATGCAACGTTCTTTATAATATCAGTACTGGTGTCAGTTCAGTTTTGTATTAAACAGAGTGATTTGGTAATGTTGTCAACTAGGTTTTCTTTCAAAGATGGAGTTTACAATGAATTACCTATTGATCATTAAATTAACCCGACTTTCTACTTAGAAATAAACACAGGTGTGTATATACTCTCGAGATAGCAATTAGAAAATGC